AAATTGTGCATGGTAAAGTGACATTATCATTATCATTCTTGTGCATTCGATCTATCCACCTATGATGTTTTAAGTTGATACCTCAAATACTTTGTTAGATATGCTTCCACAAAAATATGGGACGGACAGATGGACGGACGGACGTCCAGATGTTCTAACAGGACAGTAATATTGCGGCTACTCTTTTGTTCTCTCTATTGTTACTTTTAGCCACACAAAGAAAATAGCCACATAGAAGCATTAGCATTACAGAATTAATGACATCAAAGAGAAAAAACAGTTACCTATTGTCCCTCTAGTCACATTATTACTGTCATGTGAGAGCGGACAGACGGACGGAGACTATTTCTATATCCCCGCCGCCTTACGATTTTATCCACCCATGAAGTTTTATTGTGATATCTCAAAGGCTTTTTGAGTTATCCTCTGGACATTCCGTAATGCTTTTATGTGGCTATTTTCTTTTGTGTGGCTAAATAGAACAATAGAGAAAACAATAGAGTAGCCACAATCGTAAAAGGTAAGAGTTAATGATACAAAACATGTTTCGAACAAATTGAATGAATGGTCTACTTCCACTATTAATTACGTAGATGGGTCTTGCTCAACCTAAGTTCTGTTCTTGGTACTTTGGGCGGTTCATTATACATGGTACTGATTTGTATAACTAAAATTTACATCATTTCTTTCTTCTTCTAATACCATTTGATTAATTTCTAATTTGAAAGAGATGATAATATCGACCTCTGGTTAACCAAAGTTGAAATTATGTATGATATCAACACAAAGCAATTAATGATTACCATTTCTCGTAAAACAAATTGGCTATGTAATCAAATTTTTCAAAAGTATCAAATACCAGCGTCAAAGGTATTCATGCATTTGTTTGACACTTGGAAAGAAAAATGTGAAGTGTAAAAGTAAGATACAATTTCAATATTTCGAACAAGATTTATATATTAAAATGTAATAAGCAAAAATTAACAAGTAAGTTTTCATTAGAAATAGATATTAAGGGCTAAGACAGGCAGGTTTTGGAAAACATTAAGAACCTCGATCAATGTAAAGATAATGTTTATTTTGTATATAGCGACTTGAAAAGAATTTGTAACAAAACTGACAGAACAAAATTTAAGATAAAAGAAATTATTTGTGTGTGATATTTAAGACATAATTGTGTCAAAATTGTTATTAAAACTGTATAACAAAATATGGGATTGAATGAAATCAAGCAACACATTTGAAGGAAGTTTCTATACCACAAAATAATTAAACCCTTCATTGTTCGTCAAAGGTCCGTGGCAGATATCCCATTGAATTAGGTCAAAGACAAGTAAGGTTGGTATTGTAGTAGGAATGCCAAAGGCCTCAAATATTAACGGTTTTGGTTTTAGCTTACTTGTTGTTGTTGTGACTCAATGATTCACATACTTACATATTCGCTCATTATGCTTACTCCTTACTTGATTGATTGCTTGCTTTTCTTTACTTTTCTTAATTTGTTAGTCTTTCTTACTTCCTTACTTAAATACTTATTTACTGACTTGCTTACCAACTTACTTTCTTACATCCAAGCACACTCATTACCCGCTAGCTCACTCGATCAATCGATCGCTCACACACTTCATTTTCTAATTTTAAAATATCTAAATAAAAACAAAACATGTAACAATGAGCAAATGAACCAAATGAACAACGGCAGTAAATTTATTTTTAAACTGAAAAACATTCAGTTTACAGAAACAATACAACATGCAACATATAAATTTTATCTCAAAGTGGATTAATATATCAATATACTTTATACATAAGAAAGAAAAGTTTAAACTATATGCCGTTAAAGATAATCCATAAAAAAGTCTTCGTTAAATATAATTTTAAAATTTCTCCATGCACAATTTAATAACTTTTTCCTTTTTCCAAAATATGTTAAATATGATTATATTAAAATCAATTATTTCAAGTTTGACTCATCTATAAGCTCTTTTGTTAATATGTTAATATTAAATCATTTTACCCGCTGTTGCACTTTTTCTTCAGTAATGTATCAGACTTTATATGCGCACAACTTGGATTAATATCTAATATGTGTGCGTCCTTACTTATTCGGAGCAGTATTAAGTTGTTAAACAACCAAATATTTTTACCCTCATTCTCTTAAAGTATTTTAAAGCACAAAGACATTTTTAGACTATTTCGGTATGTTGTCAATATTATCCGTCATTACCAATGCCTGAAAGATTAATGTTTGTACTACTGAACTTTTCATTCTGATAACTCGTCTTATGTAAAGAAAACATTCAAATACTTATTCACATTGTATTATGCCATTAAAGCGTCTGTTAATCTACCTATCAACACATTTATCAATTCGAACCCCGAATAATCAATAACATTAGCCCAAAATGATGAAGAAATCAGAATGCCATCTACGAGGTCACAACGCAGAACTGCCTTATCACAATGTCTATATAAAGACTGTCAAAATTGCAGTTAAGAAATGATGAAAACAAAAATTATATGTTCGACTGATACACTTGAAGTAGATTCCAACTGCTCACTCGACAGTCCAACGTGTTGACACTCAACTTAAATGTACATTAAAGCTACTATCCCACACATTGTAGTTTAGGCTGTTTTAAAATAAAATCAATGCCATTAACAGAATAAATTTCACGACAGGCTCGTTCATTAAAATGGAACTAGATGATTAATACATGTCTTGTCTGACGAAAAGAAAAACCATCTAAGTGAAGTATTTGCAATGGTTATGCTGCTGCAATTTTAAACCGTTGCAACGTTTTCTTATGTAAATATTGACTTTAAATTATAAACACTCCTATCAACTGGTTAGAGAGATCATTTGGTTCCGGGCGGGTAGAACAAATTGTGAGCATGGTAAGTTTTAAAACTTACATTTATATAGTAAGTTCTACCTTTGAAAGTTAAATAAACCTGCATCAAACTGTTCTACTCGCTACATGTTAACGGGTGTGATAATAAGGTTGTTTATATATTATATGTAAAGTTATCTCATGGAAACTGCAAATTTGACTTCTATATTGTTTGGCAATATCGACCAACTCGTTAATGTTCGGAAGCTTTTTCGTAAGTTTCAGTTACTTATTGATCTTTATGATAGGGAAGTTAGGGAAGTTCTCGATAATTTACCTGATACATGTACTTACGTCCCAATAGCCTGATGGCTTTGAAAGTTCGAATCCTCAAACAAACTTATTTCAGATTTCTTTAATTATTTTTATGTGCAGCATTAGTAGATGAATTATTTCTTTAACTTCTGGTGTCTTTTATTTAAAAAAACAACTGTGATAATATTATATAAATGTACATGTATATGTAAATTTTCATAATTTCAATTTGTAAAGTAATTGGCATGCACAAAAACTTAGTTTTGCAAAATATAATAAGAAAACAACATTAAAAATAATGTTTTATTAAGATTCGATCCAACAACCCTCAACATGAAGCTAAACTCCCTAACTTCTTATCACTGAGGATAGTTTTGCAAGTGTTGTGTTCGTAACTTTGAAGTTATGCATAAACCATGACTACCGTTATGCCATACTTTAAAATCCGTATGATGTACGTCGGAAACCGAAAATTATCAACCAAAGTTCATTGAATATTTCAAATGTCTCCGGTCAATATTTTCAAACAATACTATTTAATAACTACTGTAAAAAAGTTTGTTGATATTTTTAGACCCGGTTATGATGGGAAAGTTGCTTAAGTAAGAATGCATACACATCAGTTATTATGTTACATTTTTAGCGATGGAGAAAACTGACACCCAATTTGGCGACAAAGAAATCAAACGATTGACGATATTGAGCGACTGCCAACCCAAAATTAAGAAAGATAACGACTACACGCCCTAATGGTTTATTAGTATATTAATATTGCCTTTTTTAATCTTTCCTCATTACAAGACCAGACAGTTGTAGAGTCAATTATTTGTTTTGTAAAAACCTCTATAACATGTATAATCTGCCATATTTGCCTTCTATAATAGACCTGATACGTATTATGTTATGAAATAGGTAGATATACGAACGTTTATTTTGCAATCTTTGACTTGCTGCCATTTTGGAAATCTAAGTATAATTTCCGAATTATATGCCAACAATTATCAAGATAGTAATACTTTGCCTATCAAGTTTAATTTAAGTAGTATATTTCATATAGGATGTATGTTGTTATGGTATGTAACCGGGTACATTTAAATTCCATTGTAATTTTACAACGGCAAAATGAGACTAAATGATTGAAATATTGGTGGGGATGTGTATGCGCTTGCATGCGTGAGCTTGTGTACGTGCGTATGGTGAGTGCGCGTGGCGTGTGTGTGTGAAAAGAAAAGTTCAAAGCTCATACATTTTAACCATCAGATCCTCATATCAAAACCAAACTAAAATGACTCAATATCTGGTGTATCCTTTTCTGACCAGAAGAAATTGTTAAGCATGTCATTTATCAATAATACTTTTGGGGGGAACAGTTCCTTTGAAGGCCTATGATATAACATGAACATTGAACGTACTTGTTTAATTGTTCATAACCTATTTTATTTCATATCCAAATTATATTCAGGAACATGCGACTTAATATTATTATGGTTTGATGTGTCAACGCTCTTAGTAGAACTGATTCGGATATTTTTGTAATTAACGACTTTTGTCAATGATGTTATATGGAATGGGCCGAACGCCCTTAACTGTAAAATATAGGATAGTTATATACGTCATAGCGTCCAATAAAGAATTTTTTAGATAGCCACGTGGTATAATTTAAAAGCAGCAATTTGTTGTTAATAATTGATAAAGAATAACGAGATTTGTGATATAACTATCTATTTCAAAAAAATATGCTGGTATAAATTCTCGCATTGCTACATAAAACGATGATATTCTTTTCATAAAGCAAAAAATGGACAGTTAATAGATTTTTAGCAATATTATAAAAAGTACAAAAAAACAAACCTGTTTTTTCACTTGCTATGAGGAAGAAAAGTGGCCTCAAAAGCCAGGTCCACAAATAATTGATACATTTATCAGTCCGTGTCTTGAAAATATTATGTTGGCTGTAAGCCCACTGTTATCGTACATTTCTTCTGAAAATTACGGAATAAATACGGCATATTCTTCACACGGTTTGAATCGGGAGCAAATATTTCGAGTTATTGACCACGGAAACTCTTCCTGTTTCGTCTGTTGAGAATGTAGGATAAGAACATGTGCATGTTTAAACACTCTACCTGCATTATGATATCATTTTAAGCGTTAAGCATAACAAGATTTACGACGCAGGAAGATAAACAAAAAATGGCGTGTCGTAAGTTCAAATTTGCTTTAAAGAAATGTGTTTGCGTGAAGACCTATCACACTTGCTTAAAAAACGCTTAATCTTATTAAAAGTCGTAAATTTAAAATGTTTGATTTGTTAAGGCGAACATTTAATTTCTAAAAATAAAACAAGAGGATTTGAAGTTCATTGCCTGAGCAGTGCGCGACAGACGCTTTCTCATTAAGAATTGACACAGGCTAACGTCAACAACAGCTGCATGTCATAGCCATTTGTGTAAAAAAAAAGTTTAGATTAAAACAAAATGATTTTTCGAGTAGACTCGATTGTTAAGGAAATAGCTGATGTACGCAAGGTTCATCTTGACTAGATATAAAACGCGACACACCTAAAATATAATGCGAATGTTATGGATATTAAGAAATTGTTTTCATTACTTCCTGTTAAATGAACGCATAAATTAATTCAGTCTAGAATAAGTGTGTACACAATGCTCTTAAAAAGAGTTAAAATATTTAGAATAATTATGCTTTTCTCCATTATGAACATTGTAAGAATATTGTGAGAAACATTGCAAATTCAAATTACACATGTGTTGTATATGTGTTGCCTTTGATTATCTCTTCATCTTTTCTGCTCAATATTCTAAATTTATTTCTTAAATAATTTACGAAATCGTAATCTGCTAGTCGCAAAGCCAATAGTTTTCCTGTTATATACAGCAAGTATTCAAATATATAGTACAACTCGATTTAACGACATTCGAGTAGCAAACCGATATATTTGTTCTGTCTTTAAAAAAAGTTTTATGTATGCATGCCGCCGGAACGAATCCATATTTGCCTTGATGTTTGTGCGTTGCCAACCCTGTTATGTAATCATCGGTGGCGACAAGTCATGTTCATTGATTTGCTGCCCTCGTACGTGATATATATACGCGATATGGAGACGTTTATCTCAATATTTTACAAGCCAAAATTAAGCCTTAACAATTTAAAGTACATAAGCGTAATCCACCGTCTTAAGATATCAGCCTTAAGAGAAAAATACTATTGTTTCAATCATTTTATCGAAAGGTTTCGGATATTCGTGCCGTACTATAACCTGACAAACACTGTTTTATTCTGTGTCAAATAATTCTGTTGACTTAAAAAAAGACATTTGTCTGATTAATTAGCCACTACATATCTATCGTCTAATATCTTATATCATATAGAGCGATATTCAAATACAAATACTTTTTGGAAACGCTCCACTAGACTCGAGCATGGGCAACATCTCATGTGTGAACGGATTTCTTGAGAACTACGGTGATAGCTCCCATACTATCAAGTCAAGCAAAATGTAAATATTTGATCTTGAAGGTCAAGGTCATTCATGACTTAAGGTCAAGTTTAGTCGAGTCTACTTGAAGGTATTGTCTAAAGGATTGTTTTGTCCATGTTAGAAGACAATCTTTAACACTGTTAAACAATTTTGGACAAGACCTTCAAGTAGGCTAGACTGTACTTGACATTAAGTCATAAATGACCTTGACCTTCAAGGTCAAATATTTTAATATTGATGGATTTTTCCTTTAATTAAATATGATTTTGATTTTTTTTAGCAATTGGGTGTCTTCATTCTTGGACTCAACAAACATTTGGATAGGAACTACAAGTAGCTAAAATTGTTTGACGGCTAAATAACTGAATGCAGCTATAATTGGCTATATCATGGATTGACTTTACACTTAAAGCTGCACGCCTCCAGATGAGCCAAAATATTTCAAGAAAATTAAAATTGAGAAAAATCTTCTTAAATTTTAAAAAAGGTTGAACATTCAAGATCCAAGTTATATGTTTCATGTTATATGCGCTTTAAGACTGCTTTTTCAGTATTTTATCACCATATTTCTACTCCGTTACGAACGCAGTAAGGGCTGTTTTTGTATATGTTGACCATTTTTTTTGGGTAATTTTCTTGGATTGTAAGTGCCGATTGCAATATATAAATTGTTTTATTTGTTCATCTCACAATATTTTACTTTAAAATACATTTCCAAAATTTTCATAAAAATTAACATGAATCTGGAAGTGTGCAACTTTAAGCGAAACAATCTTAAAGACAATGTAAACTCAATTTGACATCCGCTCATAAATAACATAGGTTCATGTTATTGTAATTTAATATTTGTTGCTGTAATTGGTTATAACTTTGTAAGTAATGAATGTATTGACTTCATACTTGTGCACAATAATTCTGTATTTAACTTGTCTGGGACCAACCATTATGGACAATTTAATTGAACTTGACACTTAGGGTCAAACTAGAAAACCTTTATGCAATTGGCTATAAGTTTGTTATTTATTTATGAATTTGATTAATAACTGGACAAAAGATCATTTCTATCAAGTTTGACACGTTTAATAATTTAATATGAACTTAAATTATAAATGACCTTCTACATTATGGCAATTTTATTTCACAATCGTGCCTCTGTCAAACAACAAAACATCATTGGCTTGCTAAATCTGCTCATTTATTGGCACAATTGTATCTTTTAATTAAAATCGTAAATGTTTACATTGTATTTTCTTATTTTTCAGTAACCGTAATGTTCTGTGTTTAACTTGATAACACATTAATGCAATTAGAATTCTTAACGTCATTTATATTTATATAAGGCAAATTACATTGCAAGTTCAATCTTGCAATATATAGCTATTTCATTTATTATTCTACAATTCTATTTACTTGAAGTTTATTGCTTCTTTGTAAAAAGAGATATGAGAAAACCAAGGTTTATATCAAACAACTTTATATTTGTATGATAAATTGGTACATGTAATAATGAAAAAACTTCTGGGCCTACATATTTGTAGCACTGCTTCGGAATATATACTTTCGGTGCTAAGGGTCGTGAGGGATGTTGCACTTATTCAGTATCCCTCATGTACAGACTCAATCAAACCGAGTCTGCAATTTTTATGTAATTTTGTTGTGATTAATGCTTCCAAGGGATCACTTTGTTTCCAGATTTTCAAGTACTGCAGAGGTAAATCCGTGATGATTTCTTTCAGATCCTAATGAATGTGACGTGTAATGTGTGTGGCAGAGAGGGAGAATCACCCGTCTACTTACCTAGAATTCCACAGTCATCAAAGTAAGCAGAAAAATCCTTAGGTACTTATTCACTAAATTATATAAAAATAATTTTTATCTAAAATGACCCTTTTATGAAGTTTATAACTTGGTCTTAGTCAACTTGTGCTTTTAAATGTTACAAACTGTAAAACCACAAACAAACTAAAAGTTTAGTATTGCATTTTAATAGATAACTGTATATAATTCAAAACAGCATGCTTTTTCTTCCTGTCATTAACCCCTTATTAGCAAATTAATAGTCTATACATTTATCAAGATAAATATTGTGTAGTTAATTATCACTGACATTTTTAACCTTTTAGATAATGCCATCTCAACTGATAATAGAAACAGCCCAACATCAGGTCCTCTAGGATAAATGAGAGTACCAAATCTTGTAAATCTGTGTTTCGAGCTATGATTGATAACCGGTGCCTTTAAACTAAAGAAAACTTTTTCAAATCATCAGTGATAAGACAGATTGTTCTAGTATCAGTTTGCAAGTAGAGAAAAGACCTGCACCTAATAAAATCTAAGCACAGTTGGCTGAAAAAAGAAAATGGATGGCTTTGCTACGAAGAACAAGAAGGTCTTGTTTGTCGTAAGCATGATATGAAACCTGCAGAACCGGGAGGTTTTTGCAGCAACTCGGTGTTCACTTGAAAGGAGATTCCATTAATACCCATAGAAAGTGTAATGTATACATTCTGCAGCACTTGAAAGTGAAATACAATAGAGAGTATATCATTTCAACAAAGAAATGCAAAACCAGTCAGAAACAGACTGAGATTCTAGAACAAGCATTTAGTAGTGCTTATTTTCAGATAAAAGCATTTATTGCAAACAGTTTGTTCCATTTCTAAATCATAAAGAAAATGTCTTGAATATTTTGAGCACATATCTAGGGGAGATCAAAATGATAGTAATTCTGATACTAGGTCAGACTATGAAGAGTTAAGTATTGTTAAGCAGAGAGAAGCATCAGCCTTTGGGATACTTACAGATGACGTTTCAGACATATCAGTTGCGAAATAACTTGTTTCATACACATAAGTGTTTTGTCAAGACCCTGCTAGTGTTGTAACTCATTTCTATGCATATCATAATATTCTTGCATGTTTAGAGTATGCACATTAATAATTTTTGAGGCAATATCCGCCTCGATTCTTGAGAAACATTGTGGTTTAAGCTTGTCTTCTTTAACAAGACTGATCTCTGATGGTGCTTCCGTTATGGTTAGGAAACGCTCGGGTATTGTTGCAAGGTTAAAACAAACAAGTAAATACTATCCTTTTAAACGTCAATTGTGTTTGCCACCGCCTGAACAACGCCTGCCACACTTGTTGGCTGAGTTTTGAGATTGCAGTAAGAGCAATTCATGATGACTTTGAAGGATCTCTCCAAACTTTGGTTCTTGTTGCTGGGTCATATGGGGGTTGCGTTCATTGAACGCCGCCTTTCCTTGTTGATCTTGTTTTTCATATTTGGCTCATATATAAGAGTCATATTAAGCTGCATCAGGTAAACTGATTAAGATGAATGTGGGAGTTGCGTTCATTGAACGCCGCCTTTCCTTGTTGATCTTGTTTATCATATATCATATGCATTGGTGTCGAATGCGTGCTTAGAGCCTTTCGTCCAATTCTAGGTGATCAGTACCCCCATTGATGTAAGAATTGGTCCCTGATATAAGCTTTGCAGCTATTTAACCAGCTGTACATATGACTAAAATATGATAAACAAGATCAACAAGGAAATAGTGAAAAACAGAATCCCTAAAGAAAAAATAGAGAAAGCAAAAAGCCAACACGGCA